TATTTATGGTTTGAATTTTTAAATACTCTATAGGTTATGAGACTGTTCTGTGAGACAAGCATGTAGGCAAGATCACCTTATGATCTTGACTTATTGTCACTGTGATAACTAAACCTCCTCTTGGTTTGGATTCAATGGAGAATTGCCTTTATGACCAGTTCCTCTCCTTAGTAAAAATCCTACTGTAGGGCTCAGTATACTTGTCCCTTGGTATCCACAAATTGGTTCCAGGACCCTGAGGATGCCAAAACCCAAGGATGCTCAAGCCCTTAATATGAAATTGCATAGTATTTGCAGATAACCTACACACATTCTCCCATATACTTTATTTTTTTTTTCAAACTTGAATACCTGAAAGTGTTTTATTCTGCTCCCTTACTTAATTGACAAGTTAAAGCAATTCCTTCAAAATTCTGAGGGTAGATGGTTTTCAAACTGCAATTATAAATGCTGCCAACTTGTCAATCCCATATACTTTAAATCATCTCTTGATTATTTATAATAACTAATACAATGTAAATGCTTTGTAAATAGTTGCCAACCCTTGGCAAGTTCAAGTTTTGCTTTTTGGAACTTTCTGGAATTATTTTTTACAGATATTTCAGTCCATGGTTGGTTGAATCCACAGAGGCAAAACCCATAGATACGGTGGGCCCACTGTTTTTATATATCACTTAGCATTTAGTCTTTAGAACCATATACTATAATTAATACAAGCAATACTACAAAGTATTGCTTGTGTTTTGATAAATTTATCCCCACGTTTCATGTTTTCTGATGCTATTGGAAATTTTATTACTGTTCACATTCATTTTCTGATTGTTCATTTCTAGTATAAGAATACAATTAATTTTTATATACTGACCTTGTATCATATATCCTTGCTAAAACTCATTACTAGTCCTACCACCTTTTTTTGTGTGTGGGTTACTTAGGATTTTCTACATATGTGGTCATATGTAGAAAGAAAAAGAAAAATAGTTTCACTTCTTCAGTTACAATCTGGATATCTTTTAATTTTTTCTCTTTCTTTTTTTGTACTGACAGGAACTTCTAGTACAATATTGAATAGAAAATGTGAGTGAACATCCTTGCTTTGTTCTGGATCTTAAGGATGCCTTTTCCTCATATAGGAATTTGTTTTTTTCATAGAGGTCCTTTTTTAATATGAAGAAGTTTCCTTTTTTTATTTGAGAATTTTTTAATCATAAATGCATGTTAGCTTTTCTCAAATACTTTTTCTATATTTTTTGAGATGTTCTTATGATTCATATCTTCTTTTAATGTTGGATAATTATATCAATTGGTTTTTGAAAGTTAAACCAACCTTCAAGTCATAGGATGACCCCTACTTCGTCATGGTTTACTTTCTTTTTAAGGATTTTGCATCTGTGTTAATGAGAGAGATTTCCTGTAGTTTTCTTTGCTTGTTTATGCATTTGTCTGGCTTTGGTAACAGGGTAGTGAATTAAGTTGGGAGGGGTTTCCTTCTCTTCTATTTTCTGAAAGAGTTTGTGTAGAAATGGTATTGTTCCTTAAATGTTTCTAGTAAATTCTATTGAATTTACTAGTGATAATTTCTGGGCCCATAGTTATATTTGGAGATTATAAATTATAAATTAAATTTTGTTTAATATAAAGCTGTCTTCTTCTTGAGGTAATTTTGGTAATTTATAGCTTTCAAAATACTTGTCCATTTCATTTAAGTTGTTGGATGTATTGGCTTAATGTTAGTTTGTAACATTCCTTTATCATCCTTTTACTGTCTGTAGGATCTGTCCTGATGCCCCCAGATAATAGTAATTTGTGTTCTTTCCTTTATCCTAATGAGAGGATTAATTTTACCCAACTTTTCAAATAACCAGCTTTTGATTTCAGTGTTTTTCTCTACTGGTTGTCCATTTTCTCATTATTGGTTTTCTAATTTATCATTATTTTTTCTTTTCTTTTACTTATTTTGGGTGGTGTTGGTACAGACATAGGTAATTGAATCATAATACAGTTCTGAAATAGACCCATACATGGATGCTTAATTGATTTTTGAGGATAGTGCAAAAGTTACCCCAGGGGAAAAAGACAGCCTTCTCAAGAAACTTTGTGAGAATAACTAGGCATCGGTATTGAAAAAAATGAATCTAAACCCTTACAACAAAAGCAAACAGGAGAAAAATACTTCAAATGATTCACAGATTTAAATGTTAGAACCAAAACTATAGGATTTCTTGAAGGAAAAATAGAAAATCTTTGTGACCTTAGGATAGTCAAAGATGTTCTAGTTAAGACATAAAAAAGCATAAGCAATAAAACAACAACAAAGACGTCTAATAAATTGGGTTTCATCTAAATATAAACTGCTGTTCTTTGAAGGATACTGTTAAGCAAATGAAAAAAACATGCTACAGTGTGGGAGAAAGTATTTGCAAAGCTTGTATCTGAAAATGACTTACATCCAAAATACACAAACAACTCTAAGATTTATTATAAGACAAATAATATAATTTTTTAAACATGGGTACAGTATCTCAACATGTCACAAAAAGATATGTGAATGACCAGTAACAACATGAAACAATGTTCAAAATGTTGTCACCAGTGAAACTCAAATCGCAGTAAGGTAGTACTTCATGGCCATTAGCGTGACTAAATATGAAAGATTGACCATACTGAGTGATAGGTTCTGGAGCAGCTTGAAGTCTCATGTATTGCTTGTGGAAATATAAAATGGGACAAACCCTTTGGAAAATAGTGCATAAGTTTCTTATAAGGTCAAACCTACACTTTGAGTGTAGGAATGGGAGTGGGAACCCACTCCTGGATATGTGAGAGAAATGGAAACATATGTCCACACAAAGACTTGTGCAAGAATGATCCTAACAGCCTTATTTACAATAACTCAAAACTGGAAGTTCCTCAAAGGTACATCAGTAGCCGAATAGATAAATGATTTTGGCAATAAAAAGTAATGAGGTACTAATTAAAGATTACAGCAACAGGAGTAAAGCAAAACAATCTGGACACAGTGGTCCATACTGTATGATCCTATGCATGTGAAACTCTATAAAAAGTTAAATCTTCTGTAGTGTAACAGAAAACACGTGCGTGGTTGAGGCCAGGGGAGGGGGAGCATAGCAGGTAAGGCGTAAAAGGGAATCTTTTGGAGGGTTGGAAATACTTACTGATTGTGGTAGTACTTATATGTATGTGTTGCCAATATTTATCAAACTGTACCCTTTAATAAGTATATTTTATTATATGTAAAATTAGACATAAGTAAAAGAAGTTTGTTTTTATTGCTTATCAAATCTGGTTATACTTCAGAATCATCTGCTAAACTTTAAGTGTACATTCTTCTACTCTATGTCATACCCAGAGAATCAACATCCAGCCTTAGCTATACTCATCTGACATTCTTAAGAGCTTCAGAGGTGATTCTGATTCTCAGTGGGACTTCAGAAATAGTATTTTTTTTCTTTCCATGACTTCTCATTCTTTAAGACTCCTCGGGTCTAGTAAAGTGAAATTTTAGTTATAAAAGTCATTACTGGACTTTTTTCGTGTTATTCATATCCTGCTTTCATTAATGGGTTTTAGAAGAATTTTAAGTCTATATTACTTATTTTGAAAGTTTGCTTTTTAAAAAATAAAATACGCTTACATTGTTAAAATATGAAATATAAGGAAAAATTCCCATTATATCACATTTTTTAGCATATGAAGTAAGCTATTGAAATACCCTTTCTAGTCCCCCAGTTTCATATCCCTAATTACTAATGATTTGATTTCTATTCTTCTAGATATTTCCCTATAGTTACAGAAAAGAGACATAATCTAGATTTAATAGGGACAAATCTAGTATATTTTTATATAGTCACTTATATATTTAAGTAGTATGCCTTGATTGCCTGTTTTGTGGCAGCCATTACAATAGGCCCTGAGGCTATTGAGCCAGAGACCTCTGTTCTCCTGTGACGTTGTAAGGTGAGAGGATAGATGTTGATTAAATAAAAACACAAGCATATTTATTAAAACTGTAACAAGTGTTTCAGAAGACAATTACAGAATATTCTAAGGTTGCATAGTAAAAATTAAAACATTATTCACCCTTTCACTCTAGTTCAGATCCGTCCTTTGAAAGGTTTGCTTTTCCTAAAGCATTTAGTACTGCTTGGATAGTCTTAGTGTTCATTTGGATGAAACATCTTGCACATGAACATCCTCTTATTAAACTATTATCTCCTCTTACTGTTAACAGTTTTGTATTATTTTAAAATACTAAGAAAAATTAAGCATTTAGCTCAAGTGACAAAAACATTGAAAAAAAAAAAAAACGTTCACTCGGCAAATATTTGTAAGTACCTCCCTGAGTCTTGGTCTGTTATTATATCATTCAGTTATATGCTCTACAACATTTTGTTGCTAGAACAATAGAAACTTGAAAATGGCAATTTGTTCTGGTAGCATATTTTTGGTGCTGCCAGAGGAGTTACTACCATTGGAATGCGTCAAACGCTAGTGCTTTTAAAAATATATTGTGCAATATATTAATGGTATTTAATACTAATGGAGAGTATGGTATGTGGGATGGAATTTTTGTGCTCATTTCAGTTTAGGAAATGGACTAAAGAAAGTTAAACATTGTTAGTTCTAGGTATTTTCATATTCTAAATCTTGTAAAATGGAGCTGTAGTACACAGTGACTCTGTTTTTCATCATGGAACCCTTTCCTCCTTACTGTATTTGTAGGAATAGATATTAATATTTAAGGAAAGAAATAAATCTCCAGTAGCATCTAAAAAAATCATAGTGGCATGTTTTTTAAATGCATGATAATTTTACTGTAAACCCATTGTTGTTTAGACATGATTAGATTTGTATTTTATATGCTGAACTTTGAGAAATTATCAGGAATTAATTTACATGTAAGGAAAAAAATCATTTTTCCATTCTTGCATCCTTTACTGGGAAAGGAAAATTAAATTTATATTTCTTTTATATTTCAGAACAAAGTAGAAGAGATGACTTAGAAGCTTTAGGTCACATGTTCATGTATTTTCTGAGAGGGAGTCTTCCTTGGCAAGGTTTAAAGGTAATTGTTTTTGTGTTTCTTTATTGAATTTAATGAGTTATTAATCTATTAAGATACTTTCTTCCAGGTATTTAATTTTAAAATTACTTATCAAGAGTTTTTTCTCTCTGTTTTAGGCTGACACATTAAAAGAGAGGTATCAGAAAATTGGAGATACAAAACGAGCCACACCAATAGAAGTGTTATGTGAAAATTTTCCAGGTAATGAATAATGCTGTACTGATACATGTGCTTATTATACACAGAAAACTGTAAGTGTTAATCGTCATTACTTAAGTTTATAAGTACTTTTTTCATGATTAAAAAATATGACTTAAAAGATGTCAGCAATTGATACACAGACCACAGGGGCAATTTATGTATTTGCTTTGTAAGATGATATTAATGGAAAAAAATCCTTCTAATAGTGTTGACCAGTACCAGCTAAAGTAATATTTTCTTCAATAGCATACTTTGAATAAGTTGAAATATTTGCTCAGAAATACCAACTGTAAAGTTTTGGTGTCCAGTATTAGTCATTTGAGTCTCAGTATCAATCTTAAAGGAGGTATGTGGTATATGATGTAATCTAGTTTTCCAACAGCAAAATCTACTAACCTTACTACTTTTAGGCTAATTTTTGATTTTATGAAGATAGTTTTGCTCTCATGTAGCTTTTTGGAAACTCACATGAAATCAACAAAAATTTACTTAAGATTTCTAAATTAATTAATGGATAATAGTAATGTGTCCGTAATGTGTTAAAATACCTGTTATGATATGTTGTTGTTGTTCAGTCCCTAAGTCATCTCCGACTCTTTGCGACCCATGGGACTGTAGCATACCAAGCTCCTCTGTTTCCCACTGTATCCTGGAGTTTGTTCACATTCACGTCCATTGTGTCAGTGATGCTTTTCAACCATCTCATCCTCTGCCACCCCCTTCTCTCTTTGCCTTCAAAGTTTCCCAGCATCCCGGTCTTTTCTAGTGAGTCTGCTCTTTGCGTCTGTTGGCCAGATATAGAGCTTTAGCTCCAGTGCATAAACAGGGTTGCTTTCGTTTAGGATTGATTGTTTTGGTCTCCTTGCAATCCACAGGACTCTCAAGAGTCTTCACCACTGCCACAGTTACAAAGTATCAGTTCTTTGACACTAAGCCTTCTTTATGGTCCAACTCTCACATCCGTACATAACTACTGGAAAAACCATAGCTTTGACTGTATGGACCTTGTCAGCAAAGTGATGTCTCTTCTTTTTAATAAGCTGCTAGGTTTGTTACAGCTTTCCTTCCAAGGAGCAAATGTCTTTTAATTTCATGGCTGCAGTCACTGTCCACAATGATTCTGGAGCCCAAGAAAATAAAATCTGTCACTGCTTCTACTTTTTCCCCTTTTATTTGACGTGAAGTGATGCGACTGGATGCCATGACGTTAGTTTTTTGCATGTTGCATTTTAAGATAGCTTTTTCACTCTGATCTCACACCTTTGTCACAGGCTCTTTAGTTCTTCTGCACTTTGTGCTGTTTAGACTGGTATCATCTGCACAGCTGAGGTTGTAGATACTTCTCCTGGCAGTCTTGATTCCAGCCTGTGATTCATCCAGCCTGGCATTTGCATGATGTGCTCTGCATGGAATTTAAATAAGCAGGGTGACAGTGTTCAGCCTTGTCATCCTCCTTTCTCAATTTTGAACCAGTCCAGTGTTTCCTGTCCAGTTCTAACTGTTGCTTCTTGACCTACATATGGTTTTCTCAGGGGACAGGTTAAGGTGGTCTGGTATTCCCATCTCTTTAACAGTTTTCCACAGTTTGTTGTGATCTGCACAGGCAAAGGCTAAAGCAGAAGTAGATACTTTTCTGGGAGTCCCTTGCTTTCTCTATGATCCAGCAGGTGTTGGCAATTTGATTTCTGGTTCCTCTGCCTTTTCTAAACCCAGCTTGTACTTCTGGAAGTTCTTGGTTCACATACTTCTGAAGCCTTGCTTGAAAGATTTTGAGCATAGCCTTGCTAGCATTCAGTTGGGTATATCTTCCCCTTTATCCCTTGCCTTTTACTTCTCTGCTTTCCTTAGCTTCCTAAGCCTCCTCAGACAACCACTTTGTTTCCTTGCATTTATTTTTCTTTGGGATGGTTTCAGTCACTGTCTCCTGTACGGTGTTATAAGCCTCAATCCATAGTTCTTCAGGTACTCTGTCTAGTAAATCTAATCCCTTGAATCTATGCTTCATCTCCATTGTATAATCATAAGGAATTTGCTTTAGGTCTAGTGGTTTCCCCTACTTTCTTCAATTTAAGCCTGAATTTTGCAATAAGAAGCTCATGATCTGAGCCAGTCAGCTCCAGGTCTTGTTTTTGCTACTTGTATAGAGCTTCTCTGTCTTCAGCTGCAGAGAATATAATCAGTCTGATTTTGGTGTTGATCATTTGGTGATGTCCATATATAGAGTTGTCTCTTGTGTTGGAAAAGGTGTTTGCTATGACTAAATGTGTTCCCTTGATAAAATTCTTTTAACCTATGCCCTGCTTCATTTTGTATTCCAAGGCCAAAATTGCCTATTATTGTGGGTAACGCTTGACTTTCTTCTTTTGCATTCCAGTCCCTGAGGTTATGAAGGGCTTTCCAAGTGGCACTAGTGGTAAAGAATACGCCTGCCAATGTAGGAGACTCGAGAGACATGGGTTTGATCCCTGGCTTGTGAAGATCCCCTGGAGAAGGAAATAGCAACCCGCTCCAGTATTCTTGCCTGAGAAATCCCATGAACAGAGGAGCCTGGCAGGCTACAGTCCTTGGGGTAGACTTGCAAAGAGTCAGACATGACTGAGCACACATACACACAGCCTAATTATGAAAAGGACTCTGTTTTTGGTGTTAGTTCTAGAAGGTGTTGTTGATCTTCATAGAACCAGTCAGCTTCAACTTCTTCAGTATCAGTGGTTGGAGTATAGACTTAATTATTGAGATGTTGAATAAATGATCTTGGAAATAAACCAAGATCATTCTGTCATTTTTGAGATTGCGCCCAGATACTGCATTTCGGACTCTTTTGTTGGCTGTGAGGACTACTTCATTTCTTCTAAGGCATTCTTGCCCACAGTAGTTGATACAATGGCCATCTGAATTAAATTCACCCAATTATTGTCTATTTTAGTTCACTGCTTCCTAAAATGTTGATATTCACTCTTGATCTCCTACTTGACCATGTCCAGTTTACCTTGATTCATGGACCTAACATTCCAGGTTCCTATGCAGCATTGCTCTTTTTTTTTTTTTTAATTTATTTAACTGGAGGCTAATTACTTTACAATATTGTGGTGGTTTTTGCCATACATTGACATGAATCAGTCATGGGTGTACTTGTGTTCCCATCCTGAATCCCCTGCCCCACCTCCCCCTGCACCCCATCTCCCTGGGTTGTCCCAGAGCACCAGCTTTGAGTGCCTTGCTTTATGCATTGAACTTGAACTGGTCATTTGTTTTTCATATGGTAATACACACGTTTCAATGCTATTCTCTCAAATTTTCCCACCCTCGCCTTCTCCCACAGAGTCCAAAAGTTTTTTCTTTACATCTGTGTCTCTTTTGCTGTCTTGCATATGGGGTCGTCATTGCCATCTTTCTAAATTTCATATATATGCATTAACATAATGTATTGGTGTTTCTCTTTCTGACTTACTTTGCTCTATATAATAGGCTCCAGTTTCATCCACATCATTAGGATTGACTCACATATGTCCTTTTTTTATAGCTGATAATATTCCATTGTGTATATGTACCACAGCTTCCTTATCCGTTTGTCTGCTGATGGACATCTAGGTTGCTTCAGTGTCCTAGCTACAGTATTGTTCTTTACAGCATCTACTTTACTTTCACCAGCAGACACAACCGTAACTGAGCATCATTTCCACTTTGGCCCAGCTGCTTCATTCTTTCTGGAGCTATTAGTAATTGCCCTCTGCTCTTCCCTGGTAGCATATTGGGCACCTTCAAACTTGGAGGGCTCATCTTCTGGCATCATATATCTTTCCCTTTTCATACAGTTCATGGGATTCTCCAGGCAAGAATACTGGAGTGGGTTGTCATTTCCTTTTCCATTGGACCACGTTTTGTGAGAACTCGTCACTATGACCCATCCGTCTTGGGTGGCCCGGCATGGCATGGTTCATAGCTTCTTTGAGTTATGCAAGCCCCTCTGCCGTGACAAGGCTATGATCCATGACGGAGATTGTGATTTATGCAATAACAGTAAATGAGAACCAAACTTGAAGGTAGAAGATGGAGCTTATGTTAGGTTGCTGCAAAAGTAATTGTGGTTTCAGACCATGAATTTTAAATCATTATAACTAGGCTCTGACACATCTTTTTTAATCAAAATAGGAATCATTACAGACAACACAATTTTTCCCACGAGAGAGAATTTTATTTCTATAGCATAAAAATCCATGCTTCCAGATTTGATGAAGTCTTGGAAAGCATTTTCTGCCTCCTGCTGATTGTGGAAGCATTTTCCCTGCAAAAAAATCATCTAGATGCTTAAAGAAGTGGTTGTCAACTGGCAAGAGGTCAGGTGAATGTAGCAGATGAGGCAGAACTTCTTAGCCCAGTTCTTTGAACCTTTGAAGCATTTTGTACAACGTGCAGTCAGGCATTGTTACGGAGAAGAATTGAGCCATTTTTGTTGACCAGTGCTGGCTGTAGGCATTTCAGTTTTCAGTACATCCATTTGCTGAGCATACTTCTCAGATGTAATGGTTTTGCCAGGGTTCAGAAGGCTATAGTGTAACAGACCAGCCAGCATCAGACCACCAACCAGTGACTGAGCTTTTTTTGGTGCAAGTTTGGCTTTGAGAAGTGCTTTGAAGCTTCTTCTCTGTCCAGCCACTGAGCTGGTTGTCATATAAAATCCACTTTTCGTCACATGTTATAATTTGATCAAGAAATGGTTTGTTGTTGTAGAATAAGAGAAGACAGCACTTCAAAATGGCGATTTTTTTGACTTGCGGTTAGCTCATGAGACATCCACTTATTGAGCTTTTTCAGCTTTCCAATTTGCTTCAAGTGCTGAATAACCGTAGAATGGTCGACCTTGAGGTTTTTGGCCACTTGTCATGTAAGTTGTAAGAGGATCAGCTTCAATGATGCTCTCAATTGTTTGTTGTCAACTTCTGATGGCCGGCCACTGGGCTCCTCGTCTTCAAGGTGCTCATCTCCTTTGCAAAACTTCTTGAACCACCACCACAGTGTATGTTTTTGTTAGTATTTCCAACACCAAATGTGTTGTTGATGTTGCGAGTTGTCTCCACTGCCTGTGACCCATTTTGAACTTAAATAAGAAAATCACTTGAATTGGCTTTTTGTCTAACATAATTTCTGTAGTCTAAAATATGTATACAATAAAAAGAAAGTAATTAGTGATTAGCAAAAAAAAAAAAATAAAGTGAGAAATGTGCATTAAAATGATGTATAACCATACTTATTTAAGAATGTATTCCAGTATCAAATGGCAGTGTTCAACCATGCAGAACCGCAGTTACTTTTTCATCAACCTAATATCTCACTTCAGTATTTGCAGGTTCTCTTGTATAGTGCTGGCATTATTACTATGAAAGTAGCAGCAGCATAATCTCAGGTAGCCCTTTTTAAAGTTTGCTTTTTTTATTCATTGGTAGCAAACTTTAATTATATGTCTTGTTTTCTTGCTATCACATCTAGAACTGAAAGATTAAAAAAAAAAATCACTTGATAATATAGTACCAAACAGTTTAGTGGTAGGCAGATTGGCTCTGCATTAAGAAGCTTGTACAAATTTCTGCAGGAGAAATTGGAGTGCCAAAGTAAATTAGATGATTAGCTAGAAAGTAGAATATTGGGAGAGTCACCATGTAATTGGGTTGGTGCTACTTTCATGCCTCTTTAGGCTGTGGGTTACCCTGTTCTTATCAGCTGCCATGAATAAATTGGATCAGCTAGGTATAACCTACCATCTCTTATTACAGTGCTCACATGGTAAAACTCTGTTTTACTGATCACCATTTTGCTTGTTGATTTTTATGACTTTTTCTTTCTTTTGCTTCTGGAAACGATGACCTTTTATAACATATATATCTCTAATGTGTTTGGGAATTATAATACCATTCAAAGGTTTATGTATTACCAAATGATTATAACTTTTATGACCAGAAATTAAGAGAATAATTAAACTGTTCTCTTGAATCTGTTTTAGCTCGATGTTGCTAGATCTGTTGGGTAGAATACCAACAGACCTAGGTTAAGTATTTGAATCCTCTTTTGGTCAGTTAGTGTGTGTCACAGATTCTAAAGGAAATCCAGCAAACTAGTGCAAATACTTTCATGTATAAATCGGCTCCCATCAGTATTAACAGTATGAGCTGAGTATGGTGTTTTAATAATTATGCATTGTTGAAATTTCTGTTTCAACCTTCAGTACTATCCAAGGTTTCTATTAAAAATATTACTTTAAAAAATTTTCAGCCTTTTCTACTGAAGCAAAAATAATACTTGTTAAATCTCAGGTTTTTCTTTTGTCTGTTTCCTTTCCTCCTTTTCACCCTTTTAATTTCATTGTTATGAAGTTCATAATATTTTCACTGATAGTAGAATCTTGCTACTTTTTCATGTGTTCTTATAACACTTGTCCTTTTAGATATTTATAATTTTATTATTAAAATGTATATAGAAAAGTTTAATCAGAGTAATTTTTATTTTCTTTCTAGAAGAAATGGCAACGTATCTTCGTTATGTAAGAAGGCTAGATTTTTTTGAAAAACCAGATTATGACTACCTAAGAAAACTTTTTACTGACTTGTTTGATCGAAAAGGATATATGTTTGATTATGAATATGACTGGATTGGTAAACAGTTGGTGAGTACTCCAGGCTGTATAAGAAAAACAAAAGATAATTTGTAGTACTTAGCTTCATTTTCATAGTACAGATCCTTTGTTTGAAAAGAGTTGAGAACAAATAATTTATTATTTTGAAGTATAGTTGATTTACAGTATAAGTTTTAGGTGAACACCATAGTGATTTAATATTTTTATAGATTATGCTCCATTTTAAGTTATTACAGAATAATATCTATATTTTTCTGTGCTGCACAGTATATCCTTTTTGCTAATTTATTTCATAGATGGCAGTTTGTGTCTCTCAATCCCCTACTCTTGTCTTGCCCCTCCTTTGTTTTTTCTCCTCACTGGTAACCACAAGATTGTTCTCTATATTTTTAAGTCTGTTCCTTTTTTGTTATATTCATTTGTTTGTTCTATTTTTTAGGCTCCACATATTAATGATAACAAGAGTATATTTCTCCTAAGCATAATACTCTATAGTTCCAGTCACATTGTTGCAAATGGCAGAATTCCATTCTTTTTTATGGCTGAGTAATATTTTATCATATAGTCTAGTTCAGTCGCTTAGTCGTGTCCGACTCTTTGCGACCCCATGGACTGCAGCTCGCCAGGCTTCCCTGTCCATCACCAGCTTTCGGAGTTTACTCAGACTTACGTCCGTTGAGTTGGTGATGCCATCCAACCATCTCAGCCTCTGTCATCCCCTTCTCCTACCTTCAATCTTTGCCAGCCTCAGGGTCTTTTCAAATGAGTCAGTTCTTTGCATCAGGTGGCCAGAGTATTGGAGTTCAGCTTCAACATCAGTCCTTCCAATGAATATTCAGGACTTATTTCCTTTAGGATGGACTGGTTGGATCTCCTTGCAGTCCAAGGGACTCTCAAGAGTCTTCTCTAACACCACAGTTCAGAAGCATCAGTTCTTTGGTGCTCAGCTTTCTTTATAGTCCAACTCTCACATCCATACATGACTACTGGAAAAACCATAGCTTTGTCTAAACGAACCTTTGTTGGCAAAGTAATGTCTCTGCTTTTTAGTATGCTGTCCAAGTTGGTCATAACTTTTCTTCCAAGGAGTGAGCAGCTTTTAGTTTCATGGCTGCAGTCACCATCTGCAGTGATTTTGGAGCCCAAAAAAGGAAAGTGTCTCGCTATTTCCACTGTTGCCCATCTGTTTGCCATGAAATGATGGGACCAGATGCCATGATCTTAGTTTTCTGAATGTTGAGTTTTAAGCCAACTTTTTCACTCTCCTCTTTCACTTTCATCAAGAGGCTCTTTAGTTCTTCTTTGCTTTCTGCCATAAGGGTGGTGTCATCTGCATATCTGAGGTTATTGGTATTTCTCCCAGCAATCTTGATTCCAGCTTGTGCTTCATCCAGCCCGGCGTTTCTCATGATGTACTCTGCATATGAGTTAAATAAGTAGGGTGACAGTATACAGCCTGATATACTCCTTTCCTGATTTGGAACCAGTATCCTTTTCCATGTCCAGTTTTAACTGTTGCTTCCTGACCTGCATACAGGTTTTCCAAGAGGCAGGTCAGGTGGTCTTGTATTCCCATCTCTCTCAGAATTTTCCAGTTTGTTGTGATCCACACAATCAAAGGCTTTGGCATAGTCAATAAAGCAGAAGTAGATGTTTTTCTGGAACTCTCTTGCTTTTTCCATGAACCAGTGGATTTTGGCAATTTGATCTCTGGTTCCTCTGCCTTTTCTAGAACCACTTGAACATCTGGAAGTTCATGGTTCACACACTGTTGAAGCCTGGCTTGGAGAATTTTGAGCGTTACTTTGCTAGCATGTGAGATGAGTGCAATTGTGCCATAGTTTAAGCATTCTTAGGCATTGCCATTTTTTGGGGTTGGAATGAAAGCTGACCTTTTCCAGTCCTGTAGCCACTGCTGAGTTTTCCGAATTTGCTGGCATATTGCGTGCAGCACTTTCACAGCTTCATCTTTTAGGACTTGAAATAACTCAACTGGAATTCCATCACCTCCGGTAGCTTTGTTCAGGGTGATGCTTCCTAAGGCCCCTTTGACTTCGCATTCCAGGATGTCTAGGTCTAGGTGAATGAGCATACCATCGTGATTATCTGGGTCAACAAGATCTTTCTTGTATAGTTCTTCTATTGCTTTGCATTGATCACTGAGGAAGGCTTTCTTATCTCTCCTTGCTATTCTTTGGAACTCTGCATTCAAATGAGTATATCTTTCCTTTTCTTCTTTGCTTTTCTCTTCTCTTCTTTTCACAACTGTTCATAAGGCCTCCTCAGCCAACCATTTTACATTTTGTATTTCTTTTTCTTGGGGATAGTCTTGATCCCTGCCTCCTGCACAGTGTCACGAACCTCCGTTCATAATTCTTCCATAACGTTCCTTTTTAAAATGTTTATTTCTTTATCTTTTTACCTTGGGCTGTTTTGGGTCTTCATTGCTGCACAGGCTTTTCTCTATTTGCAGAGAGCAAGGGCTATCTCTGTTGCAGTGTGTGGGCTTCTCATTGCAGTGGTTTTTCTTGTGGAGCATGGCCCCAGGGCTTTGGGCTTCAGTCGTTGAGGCACCTGGGCTCTAGAGCACAGGCTCAGTAGTTGTAGCACTCAGGTTTAGTTGCCTCAAGGCATGTGGGATCTTCAGGATCAGGGATTGAACCCATGTCTCCTGCATTAGCAGGCGGACTCTTTACCACTGAGTGACCAGGGAAGCTCCCCTCCATACTTCTTTGTCCATTCATCTGCCGATGGGCACTTAGGTTTCTTCTGTATCTTGGCTATTGTATATAATGCTGTTTTGAACATTGAGGTGCATAAACCTTTTGAATTACTTTTTCATTTTCTTTGGATATATACCCAGCAGTGTAATGCTGGATCATAAGGTAGTTATACTTCTAGTCTTTTGAGGACTCTTCATGTTTACCACAGTGGCTGCACTAATTTAAATTTCCACCAGTAGTGCACAAGGGTTCCACTTTATCCATATCCTCACCAACAGTTGTTATTTTGTGTCTTTTTAATAATGGCTGTTCTGAGAAGTGTGAAATGATGTCTCATTATGGTTTTGATTTTAATTTCTCTGATGATTAGTAATGTTGAACATTTTTTCATGTATCTGTTAGCCATCTATATGTTTTCTTTGGAAAACTATTCACATCTTCTGCTTCTTTGTTGGTTTTTTTTGGTACTGTATGAGTGATTCGTAAATTTTGAATATTAACCTCTTGTCAGTCATATCATTTGCAAATATATTCAGTAGGTTGTCTTTTCATTTTGTTGATGATTTTCTTTGCTGTGCCAAAGCTTTAAAGTTTAATTTGTTTATTTTTGCTTTTGTTTCTTCTACCTTAAGAGACAGATCCAAAAAAATATTGCTGCAATTTAAGTCAGAATGTTCACTTGTGCTTTCTTCCGAGAATTTTATGGTTTCATACATAAAGGTCTTCAATCCATTTTGAGTGCGTTTTTGTGTATGGTATTAGGATATGTTCTGATCTCATTCTTTTACACACAGCTGTCCAGTTTTTCAGCACCACTTATTGAAGAGACTGTCTTTTCTTGTTTGTATATTCTTGCTTCCTCTGTCATAGATTAATTAGGTTGATTGATTGTACATATGTGGGTTTATTTCTGAGCTCTCTTTTCTGTCGACGTATGTGTCTGTTGTTAACGCCAGTACTGTGCTGATTTGATTACTGTAACTTTGTAGTATAGTCTGAAGTCAGGGAGTGTTATACCCCCAGATTTGTTCTTTTTTCTCAAGATTGCTGGGCAGGATCTTTTTGGTTCCATATACATTTTAGGATTGAGAATAAATAATTTTTAAAGGATTCATTCTTTGAGTTTTGTAAAAGTGGAGAATTTGGAATCTGCTTTTTAGAGTAATGGCTTATTTTGAATATTTTACTTCTGATTTAGTTCTTAATATCAAACATACTTTTTAAAAATACAGTATTCTAGTGATTAATTTAAAAGATGAGCTAGTTTTTTCTTTAGTCATTGCTCAAGATATTTGTAATTTTAGAATATACTTTAATTATTCTAGCAGTTTTAGGTTATTTTGCAATAGATTGATACGTATATATCAGAGCAAGTTTAGGTTTTTTTAGCTATAAAAACTGCCCCCAAAATTTGTCTGGATCATGACTGTGGGATGAGTGTCATTACTTAAATGAACACAACATTAAGTTCTTTCTTTGAAGAGATGACTTAAAAAAAATCAAATATTTATTCTCACTAGTCTTCTTTTTAAATAAATAAGAATGCCTTACAAAATTTACTTTCAGTTCACTGATACCAATTTTTGTCCATATTTGGAACTACCAAGCTCTCAGATTCAAGTACTTTTGAACAGTTGGCTTACTTAAATGTTTAATCTATATTTTTCTTAGCTCCAAAGTGATCTGAATATATATTGTATCTAAAATGCAAACCTGAATATACTTTGATTAATGCATTTATTATGAAATTTTGATTATATTTGAAAGTAAATTTTATAAAAGTCTCTTCTGAGTTAAAATATTGACAGTAACCAATTTTATTAGCTTATTTAAAAAATTATTCCCTTAATTTTCATAAAATAACTTTTTCTGTTTATATATTGGCTTTGGAAATGAGAGACATAAGCAAATATATTGTGTTTTTTTAATAAGAATTAATCTAAAAAGTAATGGTAACATTAAAAGGTCTTTTGTTGATACAAAAATAAATACTTGATAAAGTGTTTAAATATTTTGAAGCTACTTTAAATAGTAGCTATAATTTCTTTGCTTTAATCTGGTATATTTAGCAACATATTTTAGGGAAGATACCTTTTCTTAATCAAGGCTTTATGTAATAGTATCTTTTATTATTTTTTTATTATTTTAAGGTGCTAAATAATTTTAAATAAGACTTCTGAAATAGAATGCATTGATGCTAATTGTTATTGTGTCACAGCCTACTCCAGTGGGTGCAGTTCAGCAAGATCCTGCTCTGTCATCAAACAGAGAAGCACATCCACACAGAGATAAGATACAATCCAAAAATCAGGTTTGCTGTCCTTTTAGATATGAGCTGTCTTAATTTATTTCTTTATTACCTTCTCACTGTTTATAAATGTATTTGGTGTTTTATCATGCCCAGATGACAACTTTATATGTGCATGCATTTGTGCATGTGTTTGCACATGTGTGTATACATACTTATATATACATATTGAATGATTGAAATACATATCCTTTTCTTCTATAAAACAGACCGTATACAGACATATTAAGGATGAAAATGCACATATTTTCAATGCATAGGCTATTTCCCCTAATATTCACATTAAAATTGTTTAACCTCAAATCCTGATTAGCAGTGTTAATATAAACTTTAAGAATATTGTTCTGTTGGAATGGAAGTATTTGGATACCCCTGTTGGAATGAATTATAATAGTAGTTGTTTTTTCTAACTGTAGTCCAGTTTAGTGTAATAAATTATTTACTGGGTTCTGTTACTTGAAAGCTACTGCCCTCCACGTTGCAGAAATGCAGAAGTAAGGAAAAACACAACCTGTGAGCAATGACTTTGTAATGAGCGAGCGGCTAAGAGCTCACTGAACCTCTGGAATCAATCAGATCTGGATATGACAGGTTACTCATTCACTCAAAGCCTCAGTTCTCATCTATAAAATAGAAATATGCATGTTAATTCCTAGCATATAGTAAGCATTCATTAAGTCTCAACTCTTGTGGCTGGTGTTTCTGTTATCATTATTACAGTAAATTCACAAATAACTACGTAACAATGCAGAATAAGCTGTACCATGGGAGATACATTAATAAAGTGCCATAGAGGATCATTGGAATATGTAGGATCTATATGCAAAGGTGGTTTTTGAGATGAGCATGAATAATAAATGGAATTTTTTAAAGACAGGCTAAGGAATAAGAATTTTGGAGAGAGTGAGCATTAAGAAAATATAAGGCAAAAGTTTAAAAATGTGGAATATGTTTGAGGAGAAATAAGCAGTTGGTTTGGAGCAGAGAGCAGGTTCAAGACAAGATATAGAAGATTCATTGAAGAGTTTGTATTTTCTGGGTAAGATAAATTGGAAGCTGTTGAATTTTTGAGCAACATTTTCACTCGTCTTTTTTATATAAAGAAACCTTACTGAATCCATTTTTGACACAGAATTTTTGCTGTTACCTTGAATTAAGCAAGTGTCTTCAGAATTTTCGGTTATAACCCTTTTTGGAGAGGGGTAGTGTGCTGTCTATTTTGTATTCCATCAGGGTTGAGGAGAGGGTTAAAAAAATGACATCAAAGAAGAAACACAACTTACTAAAAATCATAGTCAAATAAAATGCTACATTTAGGAAGTATTTACAATTTTATGCTTTAAAGTATAGACAATTTAAAAAAGATTAGTTTTATAATTTTGCCTTAGAAAAACTGGGCAGTAAAGGGTCTTATATATAAATTACTTCCGGTATAAATTAAAAGACATTGGTAGCTTGAGTACTCTGATAAGATGCTGTATATAGAAAGAAATGGGAGAAGTGAAGACTTGGAGTATGTGTTTTATAAATCAGTTAATTTCTCAAATGTATGTGGAACAAGACCAGTAATTCATATTCTGTGAGGATCTCCACTTGAGCTATTAGGTATTGTAATAAATGAAACTCCTCTTTTATTGTTGAATTAAATTATTCTTGAAATAAATTTAAATATTTAAAAATTTTAACTTTCTGCCTGTTTCAGATATGTCTTGCTAGCCTGATTGCTAGCTCACTGAGGGTGGGAACCATGTTTTGTTGATATAGTCCTTCTTGCAATAAATGCAGGGAGTCAATTTTTTTTTTTTTCAGGAAATCCTTTAGCATAGCTTATATATTGAATTTGCAACCTAGATATATAGATTCTTATCGTGATAGAACATTGTATATCTAGAAAAAAATTTCTTAACTATCTGTTCTGCAGTAAACAGCTTAAGTTGTGTGATAAACCCACAGTTCATAATCCCAAAAGAAGAAAGGTTAATTCTTTAAATGTCTGAAACCTTTGTAATATCCCCAAATAAACAGTTTTAACTTAGAGTCAGTCGCTGAAGTTCAGGGGATCCTGAAATTTTACAGGAAATCTTGGGTGGATGTGAATGTTTATTTTGAGGAGAGGTTGCATAGCTTTCGATGTCTTCTTAAAAGGTCCATGATTCCCAAATGTTGCCTGCTGTCTCATGGTCTCATCTAATTTATTTCGCTTTAACCTACAAGTCAGCTGAATTCTGGTGATAAATTTGGAGGATTTAATGAAGGGACATTAGAATTGTCGTAATTGTTTTGATGACATTATGCTAGAGTATGTAGTTTTGTATGGTACAATTTAATTTAGGAAGCTTAGTGCCAAAACATTTATTCTTTGTGTCTGCTTGATTTTAACATCTTTTCTCCTAAAGGGTTACTTTGGCCACTGATATTCTTAGTCTGCATATAGCCCAGTGTACTTGACACTTTGTGGCAAGATTTTCCTTACTTTAGTTGAAAAAGAAAGAAAGAGCCCTGAAGTCTTCAGAGCATAATGTAATTGGGGTAATGAGCTAGGTACTAATATTGGGAAAATAGTAGGCTCTCAGTTTGAATACCAGGTGTACTATTTGCTACTTCAGTGATGTGAGAGAAGTATTTAATAGTCTTCGTGTCTTCATCAGTAAGATGAGGATAATACTTTCTGTCTCAAAAATGAGACAACACATATAAAGCAGCTAATGCAAAACCAAACATATGATAGAAACTTAAATATTGTATTCCTTCCCCGATATTAGTACTGTCCACATTTTCCTGAAACATAGAAATTGCTCCCTATTAAGCCGTTACTCAGTTCTTTTAGTAGATTATTATTTAGTTTGTGGTTATTGCCATTCAGGCTTGCCAGGTCATCTAAAAATCTTCAAGAATTATCAGCCTGTTTCATGAAAATAGGTCTCTTAATTTGAACCAGATGAAAAAAATAGATGAAGGAAGCAAAGGGATTCATATATGAAAGATTGTCACTTAAAAAATTTGTCATATACTCTTGGTATTCTGTATAGTAGTTCTTATTTTTCAAGGAACTTTTCTGTTTGTTGTATTATCCTCACAGTCGGAAACAGGGTACTACTAAGCAAGAAGAGAAATTTTTTTAAGTTTTCTGAGACCTTAACTGTGGCTGTTTAAGTAATGTCTTTTTTTAAAAACGTTGATGGAAGTAGTTTCTTGTCAGAAAACCAGTGGGGACCTCTACTGTAAGAAAATATAGTGGGATGGCTTTTTAGAACATTTCACGTTTATGGAGTGCTTTCTTGACCACGTCATTTTTATCTCTCTAGTTTTGGTTAGCTTCATTTATAAAATTAGAGAGTGGAGTCTGTGATATCTTAAGTCCTTTCACTTCTAAAATTCTGTGGTGCTATTTTATTTTTGTGGTTGATCATTACATAATTGTAGCATTTTCATTGAAATCTCTCCACATTCACTATGCAAAGATGACTGCATCTGTGACTCAGAATAGTAAGGGTTTTTAAAATTTCCTTTTATACATTTGTTTTCTATATTATAAGGATGCGATGTTTAACATTTTGGGTTTCTCTTCTTCCATGCATGCCACATGCATTAAATAAATGGCAGTCGGCAGACCACAGGGCCGCCTGGGACTCCCAGCAGGCAAATCCCCATCATTTGAGGGCTCACCTTGCAGCAGACAGACATGGTGGCTCGGTACAGGTATTTCTGACTTTTGCATGAGTGATTATTTCCCAGATTTATACAACTAACCCTTTTTGGAACTCATGGCATGATTTCTTATCCTAATGAAAGACTTGTTGCTGAACTCTCCATAATTCTATTCCTTTGAATTTAACCAAAAAAGAAAAATTAACATGGTCTAGCAAGACCACCTAAGGGATACTAAGATTTTGCCTTTGTTCATTTTTGCAATCACATGCAACAGTATTTAAGTAAGTTGTACTCAGAACAGGATAGAAAAACAAAATGTATTACTTGAACTATCTGTTAAACTTGATTGTCCAGTAATAAACTCAGTCTTTTTTAATGCTTTAAGTAATAGAACATTTTTATATCTTATCCTTTCATTATTTTGCTTCCTTTAAACTTAGTTAAGCAGTTACCTAACATTTTCATTCTCAGTCCTTAGAATGTATTTTCTGATTAATTGGTCAAGTAAATATGACCCCAGTTTTACAATGACATATTTTGTTTTATTTGAATAAAGTATAACATGGAGAAAATAATTTCAAGGACAGATATTTTATAAAACATTTCCCTCTATTTTCTGGATATTTACAAAAATTTAAAGTTGTCTTTTATTTTTTTGATGTGTTCCTTTTCCCCCCTTTTCTGTACATTTAGAGATAGCTACTATATTCTTCCCTTAAATGCCCCCCTAAATTTTAATCTTTTATACATATTATAAAAATAGGAAAAGATTACTGAGTGTCTTATTTCTTTTAAAAATGTCAGTTTAAGATAATCTGAATGCTGGCTTAAAGTAATTGAGATGAGAAATGTTCTCTCAATGCATTTCAGTCTAGAACCTGTTTTTGATTTTTTTCCTCCACATACTTTGACTTGAACAATTTTCTGTTATAGTTTACAAAATTTATATTTTTCTTCCTATATATTAATCTGAATCTATGCTTGGATTTTCTTCTGTCTTGATTTGAACTCTTAAAAAAGCCAATTCTTAATTAAATCTTATGAGTTACCATGTTTTTCCCACCTTTAGATTTTAGAGGAAGTTTAAATTGTGAAACCAAATTTTATAGAATTTTGTAGTCTGTGGAACTTTCAGTCATGTATTAACAGAAGAATTCGAATAGTGCTGTCAAAGTTTAGAGTGAGGGATTCAGAGGCAAGGGAGCCCGAGAGGTAAAACTTTTCTGTGATCGAAATTCATATCTTTGGAAAAGTTAATTGAGGAAATTATGTTTAATTTGTGTAAACACAAGCTGGATTGTATGTGTATCTGTATACATTTACATGTTTCTAAGTGTTCTGTGTTTTTATAG